TCCTTTTCCAGTTCTGTCTAATTGTTGTTCATTCTTCACATATCTGTCTCCGTTTCTCAACGTAATGTGTTCTATGATCTTCGTCTTTTTCTTTGACTTTGAGAGTTCCAAGTGATGGGTTGTCTTGTGATGCAGTTGGGTACTTTCCGTAAAGTATGTAAGCCGACACCCTTTGCTTCAAACACCTAATGCGATATCCAGTTGGCTTGTACAATCGACATGAATTTAATTTGTAAGTGTTTGTATTTTCCCATCAATGATGTCAAGGACTAAAAGTGACTGGTCTCTTTTAGGTTTATATGCTTCTTGCAAGCATTACCTCAATAGTACCATTTCGTCACGCATCTTTAACAGTGACAACAAGGAGATATACATACTTTCAAACTAATATTATGCTGTGATGTAAAAAGAGTGCAGATATCCTGTGATTTAATACATCTATAGGTGTTCTCCAGTTCACGAGGATATTGGTATCCAATTTTAAAAATTCCTTTAAAGGTGTTAGGGACGTTAGATCCCCAGAACTCCCCTGAAAATGGTCCTAATTTCGGGTTTTGTGTCTTCGCGCATGAACTGATCAGTTGGCCTTGAGATTACATTTCCCATCCGGAATATCTTTGACTGTCATTGGTTGATGAATTATTTTAGTATGCTATTTTTGTGGCTCTCCCAAGGACATGTCTATCATGTATGCTTGTCAACCTCTTATTTTCTAGGTGCTTGTAGAATACACTTTCTACGCCTTATCAAGACTTCTTGCTATAGTTAGCAGGGTTGGGGAAAATCGAATCAGAACGGCCTATCTTGTCACTGTACCACTGCGTCGCTATCGTTTACCGAGTAAGGTGAACTCGTGATAGTTGCAAGCATATCATACGACGAGCATATCAGGTCCTATTTATGTCTACAGATAGTAGTTTCATCACACAGAACAGTCAATAGATTAAACTTTATAAATATCTAGACCGAAAGAAACTAGATGATTTGCTTAACCATATGCACAAAAACTGATATTCATTAAAAATTCATAGTAAAATGTATGTATGAAAAACATTTTAAATTTTTTCATGAAATGATAAATGAGTATTCGTGTAAGTAACGTATCGTATTTTTGAGAGTAGATCAAGCTTTTTTATTGTCATATACAACAAAAACAATCTCATTCCTATGTTGTTTAAATCGTTAGCAAAAAAAAACACCGCTCGATTTAAAATTTTCAACGGTTGTTCATTAGTTTATCAAAATACATTTCTTCATTTTCGACAAACTACCAAATATTAAAATACACAAATGCATTACTGTTCATTTCGTACTATAAATGTAAGAAATGTCACTGGAGCAAACAATGAATAACCCTATATATATATATATACATAATTAGCTTAACATTTCAAAATGTACATGTCACCTTCACTTCATCTCATTGAACACAATGTATGAACAGTATGGTTATTTTTAAATTGTCACAAAATGCCTTTTTTTTCGTTCATTTTCCATTAGCCTAATCAACTTGTGTAGTTAGTTTCATTATTACGAATGAATAATCGTTTGTAGCAAAACATTGTTTCATTTTCATAATTGTGTAAAGTTAACTTTGTAAAAAATATATCATTAAACAGAAAATAAAAAAAAACCCAGATAGTTAATTAACTTTTAGTTGAATGTTGACAATGTATGATTATTACTATTATTATCATTATCATTGTTCAACTGTTTACTGTTTTTAGTTTAATTTTCATTATTTTATTTGATATTCAGTGTGTGTGTGCTTGTGTTTTTGTTCATTTCATGAAACATGTTGCTGAATGAACATGTATGTGTGTTAGTTAGTTAGTTAGTTCAATGTCAAATGTTAATTAATCATTGTTCAATGGAAAATTAGGTGTTTCATGAAAATCAAAATGAAAATTCCACAAATCACACCAACACACACACACATACATTAATAAGTTTTAACTTGAAAATCGTCAAAGTCAATAGAAAATAAGAAGGAGAACAAAGAATAGTTTGCTTTGAAAATTGGAGGCAGATAACAAAATTTTATAATAATATTTCATAATGTGCCATTTAAAATTAAGTGTGAGGATAAATCGAGCATGACTCGGAGTGGATGATAATCGACACAGGTTCTAAGGATAGATTATTACTTCTCAGCTATAAGGAACTTGATGTTTCATATATGCTTTGATTAGGTAAAACAGTCGTAAGTAAAACTTTTATTGTACAGCTGTTCAATTTACTACAAGTATCCTAAGAAATTAGTAAGTAATTTCGATTATTTTTTTTAACTGTTGGCTCCTAATCACAAAACTCTTAATAATGTGCTTTTGGGTATAAGAACAGTACTTAAGATTTTACATCATCGTCTGATTTTGGTTCGACAAACATTGAAATCCCAAAAGTATTGATCAGATGTTTGATTTTGATCTGGTACTTCTGAGTACCTGTCAAGCTTTATCTAACTTCTCCTTGATATAAGTGGAATAGATTATACACAGATATTTTATATTCCTGCCAGTATGTTGTCAGACTGAAAGTTTCATCGTGAAAAAAAATACAGTTCGATTATTAGTTCACGTATTATTTTAACACAATATTGTGGTATAATACTAAAAACCTTATAAGTACGGTATCATACGAATTGTCAATAGGTGTTCTAAATGAGTGATTATTTTGACTCTTTAAGTCAATTGATGATATGTTGGACATTGGAAGCTAAAGATACTGGATAGTAGTACTGGTGTGAATATCAGCATTCGGATACAGTCACATCTAGTTGACGAATCTCACTTGGCATGAAACATACGTTACAGATTCCACTACCGACCGCAATCCGTTTATTTAATATAAATTATTTTCAATTATATTTCTAGTGATTTTTCATGGTGTAGTTTTCTTTTATTGAATAATTCAACAGATACTTGTGTGTTGTGAATGAACTAGATTCTAGTTGAATAGGAAATTAGGAAAAACTGCTGGAGGTGGATAGGACACGTATTAGCACGATGAGGCAAGCCTTAACTTAGTATCCTCAAGGCCAAAGGAAAAGACAAAGACCAACGAACACGCTGCGCTGAGAATCGGAAACAAACATGAAAAGAAAGAATGGCGATTGGATGGAATTGGGAAAGCGAGTGGATGACAGAGTAGGGTGGACACTGCTTGTCGGCGGCCTATGATCCATTAGGGGGTAACAGGCATTAGTAAGTAAATAAGTTCTCGTAACACATGAAATACTGTATGGAAAGGTAAATATTCTCATAAATTATTCACTTTCCATGTATCGAAACATACTGCCTTATTAAGTAAGAAAATATGATTACATTTATAAACCGTGGAACAGAAAATCAGATAAAACACTTCTATCGTTGAATATTCTTGCCAAGAATAGAAGTCAGTAAAGCTTCAAAATGTAACTTGTGTTAAATCGTGAATTTAAGTCTTAAAAATCATTATTATTATTATTATCAACAATGACAAACTTGTTATGCTTCTTTTTCGTTCAGATTTACATGATTAGTCATAGATTACCTTTCATTTAGTGTCTAGAATGAATTTTATTCCCAAAAGACAATTTCTTCACACTTGATTCTTTGTTGATTTTAAACAAAATGGTTCAAATGTTGCTCCGTATTACAATAAACAAGATGACTAATTGATTGCGGCTCATTATTTAAAAATTAATTAGTGGAGACAAAGAAATTTAAATCATCCATGTAAGTTATTATGTCATTAAAAGCCTGAAGAACTCAAATGAACTCATAGATGATAAGTAAAAAGTTTTTTTTTTATTGTTTAGTTAATATACCTTTGTTAAATGTAACTATCATTCGATTATTCAGGGCTTAAGAACTCGTTTTCAAACTTATAAACGATATAAATTAAGGGATAAGAGAAATATATGCGGTTATATGATGAAATATTCCATTGACTAATGAATAATTGTTTTCATTTACTAAAGTTGTAGTGAATTCGACCTTTTCAATTTCTCTTTATTGTTGTTTGAAAATATGAATATCAAAGGAAGGCATTAAAAATTGAAGAACTTGTCTAGTTTAGTTCTATCGACGAGAACAGATATACATATAAATATATGAACAACGTCTGCAACAACCTAATATGGGAAAGCATAGACAGGATTCCAGCTGAGGAATAAAAAGTGGCACACATTGTAGAAGTCACCCAGCTGAATGACATGACAAGCCGTAACTTGGAATCCTGAAGGCAATAGGCGGAGAGGTACAATAAAGAACATATCATGTGGAGAATTGGAGGCACATTCAAAAATACTGTATGGCTATCAGCTATATAATAAATGTACTATAATTTTGTGACATCGTCAAGTCGAGGCAACTTCATCAGGATCCACGTATGACAACAAACGTTGATTAGCTACAGTCCTGAATAACAATAACAGGACATTAAAAACCCTCCCAGATAATGACATATTTAGTCAGATGGTTTCTGAGAATTAATATACTGTAGAAACAGATTTCTTCAGATTAGATTAACATCAGTCGGTAAACCATTAAAACCCATATCTGGCTTATTGTACTAGTTAGTCAAACATCTTATACTTGATTTCACTGAGAAATTTCCGGACTCAAGCAACATGTTATTTTTAAAATTAATTGCGATTATTAGTAACCTAATAAAAAATTTTTTTGTTAAACTAAATTTTTATGCATAAATAATTTACAAAATAAGAATGCCAGAATTCAAAATAGAAACCTGAATACCAACGATCAATTCAATCCTAAGATCAATTTTGTTTAAATGAAGAACCATTGAAAACGAGGGACTTTTAAACAATCAACTCTGCAACTGATATCATTTTGAAACAACAACAACAACAACAATAAAAATCAACTTTAATCACAGATTTCATAATATCAAAGTATAATTTATTAAAAATCATCTGATTAATTTCAATTCAAAATAATAGCAATTACACCGAAATTATCAATCGTTATCAACAATAAAAATCACATTGAACTTACTTTTGGCTTTTTTCTTAAATAAACAAAAACTCCATCAGCGGAAATTTTGATTAGAACTTTTTGTTTCTTGATACCTTTTTCTTTGAATTCATACTATGAGTTTTGAATAGAAAATTAAATGTTAAATTAATAGTTTTTAACAGATTTAACTGTTTGCAGTAAAAAAAATATATAAATCATTTAAAAATGTACTTAATAGCGAATACAATTAGTCAACAAAATCATCTTTTTTTTCTGCAATGTGATTGTGCAGATTGTTGAGTGAATTTGAAATTATGAATCGATTAATGTTAGACCGTCGAGGGCTTTCAGGTTTCGAATGCTGGTCTAACAGTGATTGATCAATGATTTGACAGTAATCCAACAATCTTTACTAGCCTACTACGAAAATTATCACGTGCTTATTAGTGACTAGTTCCATGAGGAAGATTCTCCGAATTCTAGTAAGAAGTCATAAACTGTGGATTTCGACCCTGTTCGAGTGTGGATGAGGTTGCGCAAGATCATAGATTGATTGAAGTTAGACATTAACACTGTTGGATACCGGCTCATTGGTTTAGAGGTCAAGCGAATACCATGAGCACTGCTGATTAATACAAGTGCTTTCAGGTTTATACATTGAAATCATGATTGACTCATTGTTAGAACACCATTAGAAACCTAGAAGCACTTGAAAGTCGTTTCGCCCTGGTATGGAACTCATCAGCAGTGCACATCCACGACTCTTGCAACTCGCAGGATTCTAACTCAGGACCTGTGTTCTTGCGCGCGGACTCCTAACCTTGGGTTCATAATGACAGTCTAACATTGATCGATTCGTAATCTCAAAGTATCACCTTTGTTTAGTAGAGATGATTGATTTCTGAACAAATATCTACTTGGTTTCTTTAATGCTCCAATTCATTTTATTCATAATATAAAAATGATGAACTTTTATCATGAGGAGAAGGCGCCGGGTAAAATAAATAATTGCAATGGAAGTCCTTGATAGTTGTCATTTTCTCATTTTGATTTATATTAATTTTTAATTTCAAACTTTACAAATTAAACCTAATAGTGTGATGGGGGGAGAAAAGTTGTAGCTCAAGTAGATGATTGTGGTGGAGTTCCTTCGTTCTCTGTGCTGGATATTTCAGTTGTGGAGCTTTCATTGTTCTTCTGAACAACATCATCAGAACAAACTTTGGAATGAAGTATTAGAATTTCTCCGCGTTTGACCTGTAGCTTGTTCTGTTAACCTCAACCTTGATTGGTCGCTGTTGGCCTTAAACCTGTGGTTGTTTGCACCTTCGTTTTGATTGTGCAAATATAATGAAACACTAGAACAAACCTTAAAGTCAGATACCTTTTAGTGGCTGATCACTGTGAATAGTTTAGTTATACAAAAAAATTACTTTTCACTCGAATAACTTTCGGTAAAACCTTTTATTTTTTTACTTTAGGTGTCAGTGATTCAAATAACAGAGGAAGCAGTCATTTTAAAGTGATCCTTAACTAGGAATCAAGCTTCTGAACTGTCTGACAACCTCATTCAATTACTTAACATTTAAATTATCAATAATATTGTGGATACTTCTCACTGGTACCTTATAGTTATTTTATCATCGTAAATCGATAAAGTATGTTAGTTCAATAAAATTAACTCTTTTCTGTGTAATTATATTTACATATTTATTCAAAAAATCTTGTTTTTAAAATGTACATTTATGGAAATCGATAAAAATATGACTGACACTAGATGGCTGATTTTCATAGATGGTAAATTTAGAATCTAATATATTTTTTATTCAAAAAAAGGAGTATCTTCTTAAAAAATACACTTAATACGATGAGGCAATTCTTCCTTATTGATCTTTTAGTTTGTTTTTCAGAAAATTTAGGATTTATGATTGATGATGGCTTCAACGTCGTTTGTCATAAATCGAACTATATTTTCTAAGAACAACTAATCCGCTTCTTTAGTAATAATAATCGTATGCTCACTAGTAACTAGTTTTAGGACGTCATCCTGGAGTTCTAGTGAGAATTCGCGACCAGTGAAGTTCGGCCGTGTAGTGTGTTAGACAACTACCCAGCGAAGACAGTGGATAAGGTCGTGCAATGTCGTGGACTGAATGAAATTAGACATTAACATTATTGAATGCCAGCTCAGTGGCCAAGAGGTTAGGCTTGAGGGTGCAACACTGAGCTCGATTCCTACGTACAAAGTCATGGATGCGCACTGTTGACGAGTCCCACACTAGTGCTTCCAGGATTCTAATGGTGGTCTAGATGAGATCAGTTCATAATTTTTGCTCCATAAAAAGGCTGAGATTATCGGCAACATTTTCAGTTCCCTTTCGGCGAATTTTCTATCATTTTAGATAGTAAGCACAGTATATTGAATTATAATTTTCACTCAATGTTTTATTTAGTGTCTTTTGATCTATCCCCACTAGTCTGATGTAAACAAGTGAGATGAAAAATTTATAATAGTTGAAGTAATAGCTTGTCATTAAATCACTAATAAAAATTGAGCTATCATACTTAATACACGAGAAAATGAAATTGATAGCTTAGTACAGTACACTTATTAAACACTAGAAACAATGAGGATAATGTCTTCTCATAAACATCTAACAAACAACATAGACGTCATAGCCCTTGCATCGTTGTGTTAATTATTTATTGAATGATTCACATTCAGTTTTCAAGACATTTCACTAAGTAGTCAGTCTTTCATTGCAAACATTTCTGGCAATAAATGACCACTCAAGATAACCAGCACTCTATAATAAACATTAATGCACTGTGTTTGAAAGTCTATTATTGTTCAATTCCATGCAGAGATGTATGTGTGCGTAGGGAGTAAGAAGTGTGAAACCAGAACAGAAAAAACTGATCAGAACTCACTGATCTATAACAATTTCTTAATGAAATATCAGTCTGACAAACTATTACCAAACAATTTAGTTTGATCACGTTTGTCTGTACAAAACATGCTGTTATCGAAAGCTTATTTAATTTTGTTCATCATACAATGAATATTTCTTCAAATGTTCAATTTATGGCATTGAAAATTTACAGAACTTAACAATTTCAAACGGTACTTTGTGGCATATTTTAATTTTAAGTAGTTAATCATATCAAACAAGCATAAATTTGCTTTTATGGAGCTTGTACTGACATCTTCTACTAATACAATAACGAAAAAGGAAATGGCATCTTAAAAGTGCATTTAAAGTTGACAAAGTTCTTGATCATGACAGTACTAAGCAATTAGTATTTTTTCCAAACATTTTACTGGGTTTTTTTCAGCAGGAAGTGAAAGTAGACGGTTCGTTATTTTAAGAAAGTTAAATTTTGAACTAAGAATACTTACTACAAAGGGAATAATCAGTAAAGAGATGTCGAAAATACAAAATCTTTACGATATTCTATTCAGTTATAATTAATGATTAGTGAAACAACTACATCTATGAGTCTCATTTAACAACATTCCTTTATTCAATTATCAATTTTTTTGATGAAAAAAAAGTATGTAATCAGTTTTAATTCAAATTGCCGCTAGATTTTCAGCTGTCTTTTTGGTTATAATAAACAAACTTTAAGGGTAATATTTGTGATTGTTCTTCTCTATTCATTTTTGAATTATAGCACAATTTTTATTTCAGGAATTTAATCGGTACATAGAATCTGGTTTGTTGTCGAACACAGAAGCTTGTTGCTGAAAGTGTTTGGCCAACGGATCCACAGTATCCTGTACAGACAATTTTTTATAAACATCTGTATCCTGTGAATGATAGCTTTCGTAGTTCCCCAAGTTTTTTTTGCCTTACAATAGAACTGTTTTGACCAAGGTATTGAAAATTGTAACTTTGGTGTTAGTCGATAGCTGTTTAGACTTGCTTGCAGATGTTCTTCAATTGTCGAAATGCCGCCCTTGCTTTCCGACTCCATGTCTTCACATCTGTATCAGATCTACCTTGTTTATCGATGATGCTGACCAGTTTAGTAATAATACCTGGCACTATGGAAGTGAATTTCCATCCCATAAAAGGAGCACATGATCCCTCAAAACTGCAAGTATACAGGGTTAACGTGTGCCAACTAAGAAAAAATCTAGACTTAGCGTTTCTTGTCAATCATACCCAACTAACTATTTAATAATATCAAGACACACATATCATAATCAACTTCTTAATTTTAATAAAATTAATTACCAAAATATTTAAAAAAAAGTTTTAAATACTTTTCATACATCTGTTAAATCATAATTTTTAAACAATCTTTTTTTTCCCCAAAAAATTCTTCTTTCAATAATGGCGCCTTAGTTTAGAAAAAAAAAACAATTCATGCATTCACATTGTCTTTCATACACTAACTAGATCAATTTCTTAAAGTAGTAGTTTTTCTTTTCAACTTTGACCATTGTATTTGAAGTTTTTGTTTTTGTCACTTAAATAAAAATAATCCTGACTCTTTGAGTTGATGCGATAGAAAGCTTCAAATTTTTTTTTGCATCAAGTGGCTGGCATGCTTAGCTAATCAAGCTAATTTCCAACGTATTCATTTGAACACAAATGGCTCCGAAATTTTCATTTATTTATTATTGTCGACTAAATTTTTAGAAAATTAACTTTATTTAATGAAAACGTAATAATTTACTTTTAAAGATTTTTATAATAATATATAGTTTAAAAAAAAATAAATTTTCATTACATAATACTCTCAGTTGAAAAACTTTCTTAAAAAAAAGAAGGAACATTAGAATAAAACTTATTTTCCTAACTGCGGTCAAATCTAAGAGCTTCAAATATGAAAGCAAATACAATGTTTTGAAATCATGAATCGATCAATGTTAGACCACCATTAGAAACCTGGAAGCACTGAACGGCCTTTTATCCTGATTTCAGCAAGTAACTCAACAATCTCCACAACTTCATAATGCAAATTACCTGGCTCATTAGTTGTTAGCTCCGTGAGGAATCTTCTCCGATTGCTAGTGAGAAGTTGTGAGTAGTGGAATTTAACCCTGTCCGAGTGTGAGGCAGTGTTAATTGAAGACAGTGTATTAGGTTGCGCATGACCTTGAATTGACCAAAGTTAGCTAA